TCAGGGGCCAAGGGTGGACTGCGAAACGGCAGATTCAAGTCAGGGCAGAGTTCGTCCAGGAGCGGAGAGCTGCCGGGGAGAGCCTTAAAGTAAACGCGTGGAAGATCCTGTTAGAGGTGGAGACAGCCGTCATGTCCATCAACAAGGACAGGGAGACTGCGGGGCTTCTCTAAGGTGTCAGGCCAGGTCCGGCTGCAACCGAGCTCCTCCAGCCCGCGCCTCTGCTCCCTCCGCCCCGCCCTGCCACCTTCCCCTGAGCGTGGGGACCACCTGACACACAGGTGCGTCCCTACCCGTCGGAGGGGCAGTGAGAGCTGTGGCTTTGGGCGTTTGTAACCCACGCCACTGGTCCTCAACGCCCTCGGATTCCGTTTGTGGACCATTTCTCCCAGGCTGCACAGTCGCCATGCCGACAGCATCCCACTGGAACGTAGCCTTTGAACAGGTTCTTTGTGTCTGCTTTTTTCTCTGTGGTACCCTTGTGCCTGGAACAGGGCTTCCCTCATAGTAGGTGGCTGGCCAACAAAATGCTTCCTCGATAGATGTGATTGAAGAGCAGTTTGCGGAGCCCCTGGGGTGCAGGGGGCAGGGTGTGCAGACCTGCGTGGCCGTGGGTGAGGCGCACCCGCTCAGCTCGCGAGGCAGGCGGCAGGGAGGGTCGGGGGATGGGTGTGGGGGGCGAATGTGGGCCTGCCCCTGCGCGCTCCTTTTTCTGGTTTGACCCTCACGAGCATCCCTCACGGTGGGTGTGTCGGAGATGAGACCGCTGAGCTTGGAAGAGGCGTGACTGGCCTGTTTGGGCCGCATGTGACTTCTGTGCAAGTACCGGGCTTTTGCCTGCACCCTGTCCCTACCTTAGACTGTTCCAAAGCCTTCTCCCCGAAATCGCGGGTCAGGGGGCGAGCGCAGACCCCCGGCCGGCCGGCGGCCCACAGCTCCGAGCATTTCATTCCGAGTCTCACTAGTGAACACTCTGCTGTGTCACCTTTCTTCCCGGCAGCCCCTCTGCTTCCCCTTTGCCATTCCCACCTTGATCACCTGCCCTCCTTTGTGTGCCATGCATCTGCTGTCGGCTCTACCCCGTCTGGGCACCAGGCTGTCCCCACGCCAGTGCCCGGCATGCGGTCAGTGCCTTTGCCCTGGGCCTGTGACGACAGGAATTGTTACCTTCTTGATTGACACTTCAGAAAGTTTTTCAATGTGTTATGTATTATTTGGGAGGATCCTTGGCTAACTTACAAGCCACGTCTTAAAGTCAGTTCACTGCTGAATCCTTTAAAAACGCCCTTTGGGTCGTGTGACTCGGAGGCCGGTGACCTTTCAGACTACGGGGCGATGCTCCAACCAGCTGAGCCACGCTGGCCAGAGCTGGAGATGGAGTTTAGATGGGGAAAAAATCCCTACCTTCGGAGTGCGTATCATTTAATTTTGTATCCTTACTCAATGCTCAGGTTACAAATACCTTATTGAGAGCAAAGTGAATAATATAGCCTTTAAAAAATGAATAAAATAGGATCATTTTTTAAAGACACATTTCTATAGCCTCCTGCCTTTTCTGAAGTTTCCGTTGCGAATAGTAATCTCTCAGAGTGGAGAAATGCAATCTGATTTTATGTTACAGTTATAATCACTGTACCTAGGCCTTTCCACCATGGAAACAGCTAACCCAAATTAATTTCTGCTTTGCAGGGTTTTTTTCCTTCTCAATAGATACTTCTTCAAAGGGCACAGTAACTGAGCTGGAGTTAATTAATGCATTAATGCCGCCTATGAATTAATCTAGCCGAAAGTTGCTGCCCGACGGCTACTTTACCTTTGCCTTAGAACAGACTGAGAATGGGGGCTTCGGAGAGGCCGCTGTGCCCAAGGTAGGGACCATTGTGGTTCTGTCACAAGGAGGTAGAGATAAAATGAGTCTGTGAAAGCATTTTGATGGCTTAAATCAGATGGAACATGACGGGAGGGTTTTTCTCTTTAATCAAATATAGCTCTACCAGTGGTCTTGCTTTTAACAGTGCTTTAAAAAAAAAAAAATCTAGTAAAGCAAATTAGGGAAAAACGCAATTGGAATATATAATTATGATGTGATTTGCTTTTCCCCAACAATATAACCATTACACATGCAAATTTCTCTGTCTGTAATTTCATGACCCATCCAGGTTATAACAAAAGAGTACCTGGGAGAACGAATAATAATGTGATAATAAAATAACAGGCCATTATAATTTAAAATTCTATTTGTTTTGATTTCCATTCTCAAAAGAAAGGAAGTAGGATTGATTTTCTTCTCAATATCTGAATGGCATACTTTTTTTTTTTTTTTTTTTATTTCTGACAGTAGGTTTTTCCGTGGGTGCATCCGGGTGTGGGGGTACACGCGTTCCGGCGAACCGTCGTGAGTAGTTGTCTGGCCAGTGTCCACTGTGAGGACATTACTACGGCACAAACGTGATGTTGCAGCAGGGACATCCCAACGTGCCGCAGGAAGTGCGGGCTTTAAAGCCACGTCGTGCTTGTCACCCAGGCGCTGCTTGTCTTTGGGCAAGTTGTTGACTTTTCTCTGAGCCTTACTTTCTTCTTCTTCAACAGGAAGTAACACCTAATTTGAAGAGTTGTGATCAAAAAGCAAGAATAAGTACAAAACACTTACCACTGAGTCTGTCATAAGTACAATTGCAAATAGACAAGCACGTTGTTGATTCTGAGAATCAAGTCGGTGTCCCGTTTTTACAGAGCGGTAGGCCTTGGCATTTGGACAATGTATGGGTGCTCATCGAATTAATACTTTATAAGCCGACTGAGGTCTCCATGTGAGCACTTGTAGTATCTGCACAGCTCTCAAAAATACTTTGTTCTTTTGAGAGAACCCTGTAGCCATTTATTTGAATAATGTAGACCTCAAAATGTCTCACTTGAGCATTAGGAATGAGGATGAGCATTCGCACATGAAAGCAGTGATTCTCAGCCTTGGATATACATTGCAATCCCCGGGGAGATTAAAAAAAAATAATACTCACAAATACTTGAGTCCTGCTCTAAGCGATTCTGATGGAATTAGTTTTGAGTCTGACTGGCCAGAACATCAAAATTGTTTTTAAGTTCTCTGTTTTTTATATGCAGAATTAAAAATGACTGGACTAGACCTATAAAATAGCGACCACTCTGGATCAAGGAGCTCAGAAATCTCATTGGCAGAGACGGGAGACTGGACTCGAAGCTTGCAGAGGAGCAGGGAGGGAGACACAGATCGGGAGGCTTTCCCTGCAGTCCGTCCCCCCCTGCCCTGCCCGGAGCCCCGCCGCACCCCTGCCAGACTTCCCTGAGACTCTCCTGTGCCCACGCAGTCACCGCTGGAGACTCGCTGCGTTACTTGCCACCGGAGGAGCCCACTCTCGGCTGGAAGTTAAACGTTATGGAGGGCAGAAAAATGCTTTGTTTTAAGATGGGTCTGGCAGATTCGTGAGGTTCCTGAATTTTTAGGTCCCTTTATACAAGTGAACCACTTCACGCGCGTTTCCTCAGTAACGGCCGTCTAGAGCATGACGCTCCATTCCCACTAGGGGGCTCTTTTGAGGGCCTTTGCGAAGTCCGGTAGCTGTCCAGAGGGGAGAGTTGGATGGTACTCCACACAGGAATCAAAAAAAAAAAAAAAAAAAAAAAAATGATCAAGGACTTCCATGTATGTGAGGTGTAGCTGATGATTAGTTCATCTGAACTGATTATCATCCTAGTAGACAGTGATGTGAAAAAGCGGCTAAGTACTTCAGGTCAGCAGTCCAATGCAGTCAACAAATATTTTTAGTGTCTCTCTGCCAAGTGCTGTGCTAGATGCCCCAGTCCACAAAGCAGGAGACACACGCTTGCGACCAGACAAGTTCAGGGCGTACGGGCAGTTTCCTGTGGAGACGCCCGCAGCAGTGACTTGGGAAGGGTGGTCCAGGTGTTCAAAGCAGAAAAGAACATTGTAGGGAAAGAAGGCCAACGTGCATAGCTGCACTGATGCTGCTGCTTTTGAGAAGCTCCAGCTCAATGAACTAACATACGATGTTGCGAGTGGTAGTAGATGAGACTAGGAAGTGCGGGGTGGGGAGGTCCCAGCTGGGACCATGGGAACCAAGGAGTCCACGGGGGAGGGAGCGGGGAGGCCGAGGGAGGCAGAGGCAGACTCGGAGACACTTGACCGACAGAAGGCTGCATGTGATCTTTAGTCACCTCCCGGAGTCAGAAAGAGAAACAAGGTTCAGCGAGCACGGCTCTGCTTCCTGGCGCCCCACACTTAGCTAAGCGCTCCTGTTACTCTTTCCAGTCGCGCAAGGAGCCCTCGTTTAGTGTTCCTTCGGCAGGGGCAGGCTTGCAGTTTGAGCGCCCATGGGAGATTTCGGTATAAACTGGCTTCTGAACACTGAGGCTCCATCGTGCACATGAGGGCATTGCCCCCTCCCCACGTTAAATGTCCCCTGCGCGGAGGAGCCCCTGCGCCGTCCAGTGTCCCCACGAGGGAGGAAACCAGGCACCCGGCGGTGTTCCGGCCACAGTGCTGACCACGGTGGGGAGGAGAGACAGGGGCCCGGGAAGTGTCTCCCCCGCAGCCTCGTCCACAGGAAGCTGAACGTCGGGCTCCCGCCTTGCTGCAGTGCGGTCTCTGAGCACTGACGCCAGGTCCGCAAATTGAGTTCAGAAAGGCCCGGTTAATGGGACGGCTAGATGAACTCGGAAAGAGTTCCCTTTCGCGTTTGGATCTCAGTCTGTTTTAAAGAGAGGTTTCCTTTGTTTATTTCGTTGATTGTATTTCTGTTGACACTCTCCATACTGCCTTTTAAACGAGAAAAGAGGGTGCTACCTGCGTTGGGTTCACTGCTGACTCCGTGCCGGTCTCCATCACGTAGCGTAAACCGATGTAAACTGTACAGATTCAGATGCTCTGCTGAAGTGACTTGTGTAAAGATGATGTGGAAAATCAGCTGATGCAAACTCAGTCACCTCCCGCCTGTTCTCTGCAGTCCCAGCACGGAGCTGCGGTGCCCGCGCGGCCCGCGTTGCCGCTCTTCCACACGCCCGTGGACCTCGTGGACCTCAGCGTGGAGGTGGCCGGGCTGAAGTTCGCCAACCCCTTCGGGCTCGCCAGCGCCACCCCAGCCACCAGCACCTCCATGATTCGGAGAGCGTTCGAAGCCGGGTGGGCTTTTGCCCTGACCAAAACTTTCTCTCTGGATAAGGTAAGAAAATACTTTTGAAGTCATGTTTACATGTCTCTCGTGCACTTTAATTAGGACATCAATATTATCATGGGAACATTTTTCTGACTGAGCAGTAATAGTTATTAAACTACCGGATAAGACCGCTTACTAGTTCTTGTCATGTCTACTTTCCTTCCACCCTTCTGTCCCATGGAAGGCGAGGTGGGCAGGCATACACTTTTTTCTCACTTTTCTCACTTTTTTTCTCTCGAGAGTGCCAAAAATTTAAATATTATCGAAGTGGCTGTGTCCTTGGATAGTCACATCACATGAGTTCTTTTTTATCTCTGTGCACCTCGTTGTTCTGTGATGCCTGGCTGGGTGTGCCTGGGGCCTGCACCCCACTCGCAGCCAGGGGCCCCGGGATTTGGGGTGCATGGCACCCTGGGGTCTGGCCCCTGTGGGAAGAAGGCTCGGTGTGACGCACAGTCGCACTGTAAACACAGACACTTGCCTGGGACACACGCACTGGAGTTTGTTTGGCATTAAGCCTTTGTGCTCCCATGGTCAGTGGTCATACTTAGGAGAAAACACGCTACATATTCAAGTTAAGACCAATTTTTTTAAAAGTACACAAAGCATATGAATGTGTGTTTTCAAAGTCTGATGATCATGCAGTGAGGGGTTGCATCCTCATTTGGTTTTGAATTAGAAAAAAGCAGCAGAATTTAACATTTCTTCAACCTTTATTGACAAAATTTTAAATGTGAAACCTATTGATGTATTTAGCACTCACTGGTAGTTAGGAATAATTAATGTATAAGAATGTGTGGATCTACTGACTAGGAAAAGATTATCATTATTTAAATCAGCCTTATCCTTAAGCAGAGAAAATAATAGAGAACAAACATACCCCATCGAGCACGCTCTCTACCCGCCTTCCTCTTGCGAGGATCAGTAGCCAGTGTCACCGTGGCGGGGACGTCACGGCTGTCTTCCCCCGACAGCTTTACAAGACGCTGCGTGCCAGCGGCATCGAGGGAATGGAGAGAAACCTCAAAAGTTAGGAAAACCAGTGCGTGGAAAGAATACTTTGTGACTGTATTTATGTTTAAATAGCTAAAGGCTGGTTCTTTAAAAAAAAATATTGGCTGAATAGTTAGAGATCCTTTGATGAAACAAAGTGTAAAAATAAACAGAACACACTGAACGCAGCTATAGAATATCATTAATCGACTCTTGACAGCATCGTGCAATATTGATAATGTGTTTGTCTTTGTTTCAATTCAGCCTTGAGGAATTGCTCAGAAGCCATAATCAAATGTTTAACCCCTTGGGAGAAACAGAGTCTCTCATTGCATTTAATGACACTAGTTACAGTCTTTAAAAATTTTTATATGTAAAACAAAAATAGGTTGCTACTTAAGTACTACTGAAAAACCGTAGCCCCCCCCCCAAAAAAAGAAAGAAAGAAAAGAAAAAAAGTGTTTGCTTTGAATTTGCTGTTTTCTTTGCTTCCAGAAATTTAATTCCGATCAGTCGGAGACGCCTGTCTTTCCTCCACGGGGGACGCGCGTTGGCGGGGATCCCATCTCCCCCCTGGCCTGGCAGCGGTGCCCCGTAGTAAGATTGTAGCAGAGATGAATGTGGAGGCTCACTTCCTTCTAGACCTCTCGTTTGGATTTAATCTCTTCACTCAGGGGTCTGGGATGCTGGTTCCGAAGGAGACGTAGAAACAAATGCAAATTCACGTGGGCACTTAAAACACAGGCGTGGGGGTCAGGGAGCTCTCTGTGGCCCACTTTGGTCACAGGTGAAACGGAATGTTTGTGCAAAGGCTATTTTCAAGGCACTCGTTTCGGCTGCAGTGGCTGAAATAACGATGCCACCGTGGGGTTATCTAATGCCAGCCCCAAAAGCAATCGTTTCCCATTTGTGGTTTTGCGAGGTAGCCCATTTGCTTCATAGAGGCCTGTTAGTTTTTGGTTTCTTATATTGCCCCTGATTGGTAATTAAACCTGTTGTGAATATGTAATTGTCTTTTGGGCTTCTGTGCATTCTTGTTGAGGAAATGTCATGGCACGCAGCTCAGCCAGACAAACACACACCCTTCCTGCAGCCTCTTCCTGGGACATCCGTTCATACGGCATAGGTGCTGCACCTCGGTGTGGTGTTACGGCATGGCGGTTTCGAGTGGCCTTACTACCTTTATTATGCCCATTCAAAAATCTTCTTAAAGTGAATTAAAATTCAGAATCTTGACATTTGAAATTTGGATGCTCTTAACATGACAAAGGTTATTCTACGGTGTTTTGTTATCATATGAAATATTAATATTTCACAGTACAGTTTTGATGAAGCACAATTTGCCGAGCCTGCATATGATAAAGAAATTAAATGCTCGCCAAGGGAGTTCTGGGAGAATTGGAGCCCTGTCTGAACAGCTGCTGGAAATCCCGTGACCCCGCCCTCGCGACGGCGGGCTCCCTTGTTGTCACCGAGATTGACAGCTGAATATTGCACTGATGTCTACAGCAAATGTGGTTAGGTGGACTTTGTTTCCCTTTATTCTTATTTTTGGAGGCATTCAGAACATGCCTTTGATTTCCATCCTATATATATTTTTTATACTCTTGACATTTGTCAAGGCCGCGTTGAGGTCTAATATACCGCGGCCACGGTGGACCACCGCCTTCCGCTGAAAGGCCAGGTGATACCTCAGTAAACAGAAATATTATTAGTCTGTACCGCGCGGTCTCTATAAAAGCTGTGCATGCTTTCTTCAGGGAGGCAAATGATCCGATTTTTAATGTCAGATATAAAAAGATCTGTGTTTGCTATTGTGTTAAATAACATCAAAGGTGGCTTTTATTAACTATATTCTCCCTTGTCAGATTCAGTCATCACTAGAGTGTCCCCAAATACCGGCGTTGTTTTTTTGAGGTTCTGCGAAGGCTTTAGGATGATGATATTTAAAGTGCCATCACAAAAATATTTAAATATAAATTATTTTTCTATAAATAACTTATTGAATCCAAGTTTAAATTTTAAAAAGGTGGAAAAGCAATCTGTCAAGCTCAGTTTAAGCTAAACTATCATGACAAACCAGAGACCTGCTGAGTTTAACTGGGAATATTAGAAATTGTTTAGCAGTCACATAGAATAACCTTCCAACCTGTGTTTACGTTACACTGATAGGAAATCAAAACCTTTCGTTTGTGTTAATTATATCGTAACTTTTGTCTTCTCTCATTGCTACATATTACAGACCGCATATAGATAACATCTAACTGCAGGCTGCACATACCTTAATCACTACACAGATAAACTCAGAAATGGTTATCACTATCCTAAGCCAAAGCCAAGCTTAAGCAAGAATTTGTTTTATTTATAAGTTGTGTATATAAACTAGAGTAAACTTGAGATTGATTTTTAGTAATAAAATGTCTTGACTGTATATATTTTATTTTAACCATGTCAAATGACTGGATAAATAGGTATACATATGGTGAGTCGCTCTCAACACAAAACACTAAAAACTAAACACTGAGAAATATTGAAGGTTCTTTATTATTTCTTTGAAATCAAAGTATTGATTGTAGCTGTTTTCATCAAACTCAGCTTTATACCACACCAATGCTTAGTGCATAGGAAGAGTTTGATAAATGCCTCATGAATATATGCTGTGCTAATGAATTAATAAATGAATAGACAGGTTTCTGGCAACAGCACATTGAGGACTTCTTTTCAGCCATGTGAACAATCAACACATAAAACATTGTTCTAAGCACTGATCTCAATCAAAGGAGACAAGGCCAGTTTAAACTTTTCATACCCTGTGTTGCTTTCTAGAGTGTATGTATCCATGTCCAAAATGTCAGCCCTGGCTGGTGTGCCTCAGTGGCTTAAGTGCTGGCCTGCGAACAAAGAGTTGCCAGTTTGATTCCCAGTCAGGGCACAGGCCTGGGTTGGGGCCCAGGTCCCCAGTAGGGGGTGTGCGAGAGGCAACCACACATTGAGATATTTCTCCCTCTCCTTCTCTAAAAATAAATAAAACCTTTTTTTAAAAAAGAAAATGTCAGTGGAATTTCTAAATGCATGGGCTGTATATTAAAGACTTAGGCTGTCCAGTAAGCCTTAAACATGCAGAGAATTTTTGAGGAAACAGAGTAAGTACAGCACAGGTTTAGGAAGGGACATCCACATTGTCTGGGCAGACTCTCTAATGAAATGGAACCTGTTCTCTAGTGCTTTGAGCGGCAGGGAGCATGCTAGGTCTTTGAGGTCATGCAGCCTGTCTGGCTTTGGAAAGACCTCTCAGAAACATCCGCCTTTTACTGGCCACACATGGGCCTTGTCGTCATTTCTGTCTGTACTGTGTAGTCCTGCCCCAGGAGTCATCACGGCGTAAAGCAGTCTAACCTAGTAACCAAAGTGAATTGTGGACCTGAAAGTATGGTGCTTTTTTTTCCCCCTGCAAGTAAATAAATACCCCGGGGCAAGACCGACAGGACTGGAGAGGCAGTGGTGTTTGGGGGAAGGAATCTGAGCTGGGAGACGCCAGTGTCCCTCCAAAGCCGCTTCTAAACCACCTTCTGGGACTCGTTTAATGCTCTCGGTTGTCGTTGTTATAATTATTATTATTGTTATAGCAACATGCACTTACCTGCCACGTAGTGAGTACTTAGAATGTATAGACATTGGCAAATGTTTTTTATAAGCTATTCATTGAATCTTCACAACATCCCTATAAGATAGTAATTATTTTTTTTCAGATGGTCAGTGGGCTGAGGAAGTTAAGTAAACTGCCAGGGACTGAGAGCAGCAGGGATTTATTTGCTCGCAGTCACGGATGTGGGCAGCCTGGCTGAGCTCGTGTGGGTGGTTCTGCTTCTGCTGGCATTGGCTGGCCTCACTGGTGCCCTGTGGCCAGACGGAGTGACGCCCGGGGACCGGCGGGGCCCACGCGCATGTCTGGGGTCCGGGCAGGGGTTGCTGCAGCCGCTAAGAGCGCTGAGCTGCCCCCTCTGTCTCCTCAC